TAAGCCATGATTTTATCCATTGGTTGTTGATTGGATTGTGAAAAGTGAGCATTGCATATGAAAATAGAGGCAGATGTGAATGCAAAGTCATTTAGATTATAGATTACAAAGTGAAAAAATATAATAAATAAATAAATGCATGAATGAAACATTAGCAATAAGCCCAGTAACGTGCATTGAGAAAATAAATAGGGTCATGAAAACTGGAAGATTATGGCATCGAACCCAGCAAGTGTTGATCCATGAGCTATTATCACTGTGTTTTTGAGCAACACACTTTTAACCTCAGGTTACTCCAGGGGCATTAAACCTACAGTAAAGTGTATTCTAAGTTGCAATAAACATTTCTTATTATCAATGTTGAGAACAGTTGTGCTGCTTCAAATTTCTGTGAGAAACCATGATTCCATTTTTTCATGAATAGAAAGTTCAAAAGAGCAGAATGCCTTTGAAATACTGTACAAACTTCTTTTAAAATTTCCAACAGCCTATTTTGTAGGAAACCAAACCCAAACAACATAGTGCTATTAGAGGATCTGCCGTACTTGTCTCTGTTCTCATTTAAAATAACAGGTCCGTGCCCATATTTCTGAAGATTTACAGCCATAACACAGACTATTTAGAACATAAAAAGAGGCATTTAAATTACAAACGCGGCATATAATTTCCTGACCTTTGATCAAGCTTATTAGTGTTCAAATGAATGTTTGTAAATACATGTATTCATAATTTCAACCCGTCGTTCAGCTAATAATGCAAAATCAGTGTAATGTGAGTGCGTCGTAGAGCCGTTTGTCTGCTGATTTCAATCTAAATGACTCACATTCTCTCAAACATAATGTAATCAAAGTCAGGATTTTGTTCATTTTCAAAGCAGTACTTTTTCGTGCTACACACTTGTTTTCTCTGGGTTCTTCATCTATTTGTATCGCTACTTTTGATTGTATTAACCTTTTCAGCAGGTTATTTTTAATAACATTTTGGATTTAGAGACTCTGATCATGCAGCACGACTGATTTAACCAGTCCTCTCCAAAATTCAATTTAGTAGACCTATTTTGTTTCGATGTATGATATATTTTAATCTTATTTTTATTTCATGATTCACATTGTTGATTGAGAAAACGATCAAAATAGTTGACCATATGGTCATATTAAATACAACATCTAGCTCGTGTGTTACTGAATATTTGTACAAAGCCAATTACAATATTTCATCCAACAGACAAAAGGCACCTGACAGTTTTTAATCAAGTTCATGCAGGAATTGCGTATTCTTTCAGACAATGTGGAAAGCATGTTGAAGCACAAATATTTCCCCACAGCAAACAGAGCTTGTATTACCTATTTAGTCACTTTTACCGAGACGTTTCTGAGAATTAAGGCAGGCCTTTGTGATCATTACAAACACATCCATTCATCTATTTTCTATGCCCATTATATCATTTTGAAGGTATTCATAATGCTGTATAATACATAATTGTATGCATATTGTGTCTTTTTGCATCATTGATTCTGCTATTTTCCTGTTTATTACTGTGAGGCTGCTTTAAAACAATCTGTATTGTACAAAGCACTTTAAAATAAGATGACTTTTCATGAATGAATGAAATTAGTGATCAGTCATACTGATAAATCAATATTTGGCCATTTTGAGATTATCAGCATCAGCTCTTGTATTCAGCTTGTATTAAAAAGTGAGAAAATTTTGTGCAAAAATTTTCCTTACATTCAAGCAATTTTATATACATTTCAATTCCTTATTAAACTGTATAAGTCAAAAAAATGTAACGTATCATTCAAAATGTATCATTAAAATCACAGCAACGCAATTGCTTTCTCGCTGTTCTGACTGGCATGATAAAACCAACAGATCCATTAAGGATCGTTAAATGGGATGTGTCATGTAGAGTGCTGTCCCATAATGCATTATATCCATGTCCTCCCTGCAGGCCATCTGAATTGATTGCTAAACTCCAACCGATGAGAGACAAGTGAGGACAGCGAACTAGTTGGGTTCAAACACTCAACACAGAGAAAATTATCCTCCTTAACATTAGTGCATTCAGCAGATGGTTTTGTTCAAAGTGCATTCAAGGTACGGGGATTAAACCAGCAACCTTAGCATCACAGGGTTTCCAAAAGAGGGTTTTTGCAGCAGTGTCAAAGAGTAGAAGAAATATGTTGGTTCCCCAAAGAACCTTACTTAAAATAGCCATTACTTTCTTATGTGAAGAACATTTTAAAACTCTAAAGAACTTTTTCCACTATAAACCCAGCTAACAGGGAAATTTCTCATAACATTCTGGCAAGGTTCTCTCAATGTTATGAACAAACGTTCTTCCAGTAATGTTAATAGAACAGTTATCTGGTCTTTTTTTTTTAATGTTACTGAACGTTCAAGGGTAATAATCACATAATGTATGCAAAATTATGAAATAGAATGTTCCCCTAACATTCGTATAACCAAGAAAAAATGTTTTTAAACCATAAACTGGACATTTTAAACATTCAAAAAGAACGTTTTCATAACTTCTTAGACATTCTTAGATCATTTTTGTTTCTGGGTAGAACCTTTTGAGGAATGGAAAGGTTCCTTGGATGTTAAAGGTTCTTTATAGAAGCATATATGCCATTAAAGAACCTTTAAGAGTGTAGAATCAGGCTCTACCAGTTGTGTTGCAAAAGGTGAAAAGGTCACCACAAGGTCAACAAACAACTGACATTTGTTTCTAGGTTGAATTCATCTTAAAATGTTCCTGAAACCAAATGAAAATGCTTCGATTTTATCAGCATTGCAATTGTGCAAATTAAGATGAATTTGAGAATGTCTCTGAATTTGGATTGTATCTATTTTGAATTAATAGCAGCAGCACTGGGGCGGAACAAACTCTGATGATCATGTTAGAGCATCTTGAGCTCCACACTGTAAATTTTTTTTGTGATTTTAACAGTAAAAGACTGTAAAAATGCTACAGTAAAAACCTGTTAACTGGTTAACAGTAATTTCCATACTATATTCAGTGAATAAATGTAATTACATTTAATGTAATTTTACAGTAAAACACTGTTAAAAATACGGGTTTTAGAAGTGAAAAAGAAAAAGTCAATGTATAATTTACAGTGACAAACCGTAAATTGACACTCCCAGAATTCCCTGCATGACACTTCATATTTGATGTTTTTTTGTTGAAATAACACGTTTCTTAGTTTTTTCTTATTAGTTGTGTACATTAGGGTTTAATCTTACATCTAATGTTGTTAAATTAATGTTTATTGCATTATGTTGCTACCATATTTTTTATGGTGAAGTTCTGGCAACCACAGCTGCCGTATTTTACCGTAAATGACAGATTTTTTTTACAGTGCAGTGGAAGAACATCTGACTCTCTTTACAAAGACTCATTTACTTACATTAGTGATTAGCATCTTTTGTGCACGTTTTGTTTTTTTCATTAGGCTATACATGCTTTTCTTTGTTTAAACTTATTTCCAAGTTTAATTGAAAAGGAAATCCTTTATTTTCTATGTGAACTTTTGGCCCTTATGTGCTGGAGAAAGCTGACACGATTTTCTCGGTTAATAACAGATGAGAATCTAAAAACTGATCTAAAGAACCTATTAGAGTAACTTTGTCCAAAGAACCATATATCCGCAAAACATAGAAGAAAAGAATAAGGTTCTTTGCTGAACCTCAAGGAATCTTCACTTTTAAGAATTTTCTTGTCTTTGGCCTCTGTTATTTGCATAGTTCAACGTGCGTTTCCCTTTTTAATTTATATAGCAAATCATTGCATATGCAGTATTACACCAGCAATGAATAGAAAAACTAGAACGATTACAACTCTACAAAGATTTATACTCTAGAGACATTTCATCAACTTTTACCCTTTGAAAGGTAAATAAAGTATTGTTCTTACATGTAAACTCCGTTAATCGCAGCACTGCGTCCACGCGTTTTCCATTTATTGCGCCGATGTAAATCCAAAATCCCAATCTGATCCATGATGGGTAGGAAACAGAAAAAAAGCAAATATTCCGCAAAGGACTCTGGAAGTTTTTTCAGACTGTCTCTAGTGCTGTAGGTAATCAGTTTTTCTCTGAAATCTGGATTCCGCACAAATGCATTACTCTCAAATCCCACGCAACGCTTATTTTACGCGCTCCGAATTTAAAGTTTAACTATATTTTCCCAGTATTCATATAAAAAGAACTCTGTGTCCAAACATTGTCCGTGCTTCCAGAAGATCAGAGTGCATTTTTAGCAAATGTCTCCAGCTTATTTGGCGCACAGCAGCAGTTTGCGCGTATCTCTCTCTCTCTCTGAGCGCAGGAGCTGGTGCCAAACACCCTGCGCGCGCCCTTGAGCTGCGCTGCCGGATTACGCACATCACAACCAAACATTTGCGCACGCCAAATGAGTTACAAAGCAAGAAAATACCACTCTTTTATGACAAGTATCGATTGTGTGGTGTGTGTATTGACTGGTTTATAATTCTGAGTTCACTTTGTGCGTAACTGGTTAGACATGCATTGTAGTTTTAACGTCAGGATTTGTGTTCCCACTCTGTTTTATAACCATCAAAAGTAGCCTAAATCTATGTTTATTTACATTTTCTTAAAGATACAATCAACTATTTAGTCTATTTTAGTACAAGATCGTCCCCAAAACACTTCTGATTTGCTTTCCTCTATGACATGAATATTACAGCGTGTAATAGCCTACAATAAAATGCAACATGAAAAACTCTTTCGCGTTTCAGAATTAATTTCCTATCCAGTTTCTCCCTCTAGTGGCTTCAATTAAGTCATATTTTGAGATTTATAGTTCTGTTTTTAATATATAAACCACCTTATTGTCCATAGCACCTTCCGGTTTAACAACTCTCTGCATTCTACTCAAATTCATATTACTGTGTGTTATTCTAAATATAAGCCATTCTGTAATTCCGTGTGTTGCCCATAGACTGTAAAGAAAAACATAATCGCCTGTAATACCGACGCTCTGCCGTTGGTGGCAGCACTGCGGCGCGTGAGTGACTGATACACACACACACACAGCGCGAGACGTCGAGGAAGAGGCGTCCAGCGCGTATAGTGTACAAACACACAGTTGAGCAGTAATTTGTCGTTTTTAATTTACATTTTAGTCAATTAAAGAGAACCATGTCGGAAAGAAAGGTTTTGAATGTAAGTGCCTCCTTTAATTTTATATTATTGTTGTGTTATGGCTTAAGGTGGATTGGAGGAGTAATATCTAAGATATCACCGTGCTAATGAAGTAACGTTAGCAATGCAGCGTATAGCCTACTTTTATTAAATACAAGTCAGATCGATTCATTTTTCGTGTTAAGTAATGTTTTCGATGCCCATAATGTACATATATGTTGAAATAATCTTGAATACACATGCTAAAATGAACCTTGAAATAAGTTTCTGTTTACAAAGTTCATTTCTGTGATAAACTGTCACCTTACAGCATCTCTTGTTTTACCTCAGAAATACTATCCTCCGGATTTCGATCCGTCTAAAATCCCTAAACTCAAACTGCCCAAAGACCGTCAGTATGTCGTTAGATTGATGGCACCATTTAATATGAGGTGAGTTTAAATACGTGTTTGGAATTAGTAATACTCTGTGGTATTATTGCAGGTTTCAAATAAAAACATGGCTTTAGAAATTAATAATAAGCATTAATATTAAACTATTTTGTACAGATCTATATCTATTTTATACAGGATAAAAGAACAAAAAATGTTTGTGTGTATGTATGTGTGTATATACATATACATACATATATATATATATGGGGGAAATAATGTTCCATCATCATTCAGTATAAAAAAATATGTATATACAGGTGCATCTCAATAAATTAGAATGTCGTGGAAAAGTTCATTTATTTCAGTAATTCAACTCAAATTGTGAAACTCGTGTATTAAATAAATTCAATGCACACAGACTGAAGTAGTTTAAGTCTTTGGTTCTTTTAATTGTGATGATTTTGGCTCACATTTAACAAAAACCCACCAACTCACTATCTCAACAAATTAGAATACTCCATAAGACCAATAAAAAAAAACATTTTTAATGAATTGTTGGCCTTCTGGAAAGTATGTCCATTTACTGTACATGTACTCAATACATGGTAGGGGCTCCTTTTGCTTTAATTACCGCCTCAATTCGGCGTGGCATGGAGGGGATCAGTTTGTGGCACTGCTGAGGTGGTATGGAAGCCCAGGTTTCTTTGACAGTGGCCTTCAGCTCATCTGCATTTTTTGGTCTCTTGTTTCTCATTTTCCTCTTGACAATACCCCATAGATTCTCTATGGGGTTCAGGTCTGGTGAGTTTGCTGGCCAGTCAAGCACACCAACACCATGGTCATTTAACCAACTTTTGATGCTTTTGGCAGTGTTTCACAATTTGAGTTGAATTACTGAAATAAATGAACTTTTCCACGACATTCTAATTTGAGATGCACCTGTATATGATGGTCATTGTTTTTTGTTTTGATGCTTGAAAACCATCTTTTGTCTTTGAACCATATATCACTGTAAAAACAAGATATATTGAATGTGAAAGTATTTAAACTACGTTGTGAGGAAAACATCTGTATTTTGATTGATGAGAGATTGTCACCTTTCAAAATAATAATGCTTGTTGTTACACAGGTGTAAAACGTGTGGAGAATACATTTACAAAGGGAAGAAGTTTAATGCCCGTAAAGAGACCGTTCAGAACGAACTGTACCTGGGGCTTCTCATTTTCAGATTCTACATTAAATGCACCAGATGTTTGGCTGAGATCACCTTCAAGGTACTAGAATAAACATCATACTCTTTAAAACCGACAGACAAACACTTAAGGTGTTTTCATTCTTGTCCTTGCGTGTTTGTTTGGTTGCACCTCATCTAATTGCTGTGTTTCACAGACAGATCCAGTGAACACCGATTACACCATGGAACATGGTGCAACACGCAATTTTCAGGCCGAGAAACTGATCGAAGAGGAGGAGAAAAAGATCCAGCAGGAGCGAGAAGAAGAGGAACTCAATAATCCCATGAAGGTCTGATAGAAGCTTTAGACTACTTGTGTATTTTATTATTAGAGATTTTGTTAGGAATTTATTGCTTTATTCTGTTCTATTTGTGTTTAATTTGTCTTTTTTTCCACTTTCCAGAAATGTTTAGTGTAAAATAAGCATTATTTCGTTTTTTATAACTGTTTTCAACATTTTACATTGATAAAAGCCTTTAGAGCGTCTTTGTAAGGGAGCAAACAAAAGCGCATACAAACTTAAAACATAATGTCCCTGAATGCTGTCACAGGTCCTGGAGAACCGCACACGAGACTCAAAGTTGGAGATGGAGGTGCTGGAGAACCTGCAGGAGCTGAAGGAGCTGAACCAGAGGCAGGCACAGGTGGACTTTGAGGGCATGCTGGACCAGTATAAAGAGATGGAGCGGAGACAGAGAGAGAGAGAGCAGGAGGAAGACGAACGAGAGACCAAGTAAGAAACCTTTGAACTTTTGGAAGCTTTTGGCCTTTTTGCTTCATACACTGTATGTTGGAATATTTGAGCTTTTTAAAAATGCATTTGTCACACTACAGATTCATTTAAGCGCACAAAAAGGTTATTTAAAATGGGAGAAAAACTTAAATGACAAGGATTACAGTGGGGCTGCATGATTAATCAATATAAAAACGAAATTGCGATATAGCTTAGTGCAACTTCTGCTAAAAGTTTAATGGTTTAATGTTTGAAAATGAAATTCTTGAGAATTAAAAATAAAGCAAGTCATAAATATTATATTAGGATTGTAATTTTAAAGTTTTAATGTAAAAAATATATTTTGTTTTATTTTGCAGTGCATTTTACAATAGTAATATTACTATAATGTTTTGTTTTTAGTCATTTTTTATATTTTTATTTAGTAGTAATAATATTATTATTATTTTATAGCCATATCAATTATTGACTAAATTGTGCGGCCCGACAAACAAGCAAAGCAAACCTGTTTTTTTATTTAAATCGCGGTTTTTAACATAAAAATCAATCCGATTTTTCCCTGAAATTGTGCAGCCCTGGATTACTGCATTTAAAATATGGTTCATGTACAAAATGTAGCTATTCATATGAATTTAAGCAAATATGTTGATGTTTGAAAGGCATAATTGTGTCCATATTGCTTACCATGTACACTCACATGTGACAATAATTACACCTTGTGCATTCACAAGTAGCATGTAATGTCAAGATAAAAAGCATGGATTATATAATATAGGGTGGTTTAGACTTCCCTTTTCTCTTGCTCCTCATAGAGAGATGTTGGAGAGAGCTCTGGTCAAACGACTGAGGGACTCAGACTCTGAAGACGAGACAGAAGATGCAAAAGACAGAGGCAGCAAACACACGGCTGATAAACCCACAGACATCCTCACCACAGACGTGAACACGGGATCACAGGTGAAGAGAAACACAGTAGCCTCCACCTCATTCGATTCAAATCTAGATTGTTTGATTTGACATTGACATATTTTTACATTTTATTTTAGTTACTTTTGTATATTATGATTTGGAAAAAGTCTTAGGTGTTGCTTTTGATTTTTTTTAATACATGTCTCTGGATACTCTACTGTGATTGGTCAGTTGCAACATGCTGCAGTCGAGTGTTATTGTCATTGTTGCTCACAGGCAAATCATTTCCTACATAGTTGTGCTAGTTTAATGATTCTCATGTCACTCCACACTCGTTCTTCTCACATAATAATTTCAGCTCAAGTCAATATTTCAGATCCATTTGTTTATTTATTTATCGTAATAAGTATTAAGTATTGACTGTACATTATACTTTATATGATCTGTGGTACAAAATTCAGTTGTTCTTTCAGCTTACATGTGTTTTTCTGTTTTAATGCCCCATCTGTTTCTCTCATTAATTTTTGCGCTGTTTTCCTGCTGGTCTCCACAGGGCTCATCGTCTGTGGGCGTAAAGAAACAGAAGGTGGAGAGCTGGGAGAGGAGTGTCGGAGGTCTGGGTGAAAAGGGAGCTCTGGGGTCTCTGGTGGTGAGGAAGAAACCAGCAGATTCTGCCTGTAAACCTGCCGCCGCTGCACCACGACAGGCTGCTAACACACAAACAGGTTCATGATCTATTAAAACTACTGAATCAGTGAGTTCTCAAAAGTGTCGGGGACAGTCAGGCCGTAATGAGTGTGCAGGGGTGTATTACAATTATTAAAGAAATAGCTAATTCATTCATTCAGTCATTTAAAGTGCCCCTATTATGCTTTTTGAAAGGTTCATCATTTGGTTTTGGGAGTCCCCAACAACAGGTTTACATGCATGCAAGGTCAAAAAACACTTTCATTTTCTTATAATATGCATTTAATTTTATGTTATTTCTCAGTGACTCTCAAACAATTAGTTTAAAAGAGTAATCTTTCCAACCCCCTCCTTTGCATGAGGCTACTCTGCTCTGATTGGCCCGATGACCCAGTCTGTTGTGATTGGTCTACTGCTTACTGCGCATGTTGGAAACAGAACGCCCATCACCAGTACTGGAATACGACTTATCAATAATGCATCCTATTATAATAATGATAGTGCTCCACTCTGTTCTAAAAATAAAGAATCTGAGGGGAAAAAGTTGTTTTACACTTCTGTTAGCGAACTGGTCCCACAGCTTGGTAGTAAAGACCCAAACAATGGTATATGCGTTAGCCGAACACAGACATAGAGTACTGATAAAGCACTGCAGTTTGTAAACCAACGTATTGCTCCATCCTTTATCATGACTCCAAGTAATAAGAACGACGCACATTCTATATTAATCTGAATTTATTATTCAGAGGCCACAAATAAAGTGCACTTTTTTTGTTTTGCACTTTATTTGTGGCCCTTGGACAATAAATTCATGTGAGCTTTTTTGGCCCATTTTTCGTGTGCGGATCTTTGTTTTTTGGTCTTAAATACATTTTAAAATGTAATTTATTTCTGTGATCAAAGCTGAATTTTCAGCATCATTACTCCAGTCTTCAGTGTCACATGATTCTTCAGAAATCATTCTAATATGCTGATTTGCTGCTCAAGAAACATTTCTTATTATTATCAATGTTGAAAAGAGTTGTGCTGCTTAATATTTTTGTGGAAACTGATTTTTCCCAGGATTCTCTGATGAATTGAAAGTTCAAAAGAACAGCATTTATTTGAAATAGATTTTTAAATCTATTTTTTTTTAAGTCTATAAAAGTATTTTAAAAAGAATACAACCTTAGGTCTGTTTTCAAAAGCGTTCATGATTTATAACAATTTAAGTTTGGATAGTGCACTTTCACGTCTATGTTCAAAAATGGGGGGTGAGAGCGGAAGCCGTCGACTGTGGAATAATAAAAGCTCCGCTGCTTTCGAGCCGTGTGTCGCGCTCGTCTCTCATTAGCAATTGCTTCAGCGGCCTCACTTCGCTTCGACGGCTTTCAGCCTCACCCTGCTTCATACTGCGACGTTAATAAATCTTTAATACATTAGCTCATCCATGGCCATGATTTCTGCCAAAGTCCCGTCGGATTGCATCGGCTGTGGGGATGAAGACGACAACTCCCATGATTCTACACTCAAGTCATGGCGTCATCAAACTATTCCTTTGTTTCTTTGTTTGTCTTGAAAACGTGCCCTCTAATGGCGAAAACGTACATATTGTGCCTTTAAGAGGTTAAAAAAAATCTTACCGACCCCAGATTTTTAAATGGTGGCGTATATACATTTTTAATAATAAAAAATATGTATAATGTATTTAATAAGCTAAAATTGCAAGTGAATGATTATTTTATTAACTTCTTTTATTAATAGTATTACTTTTATTAATATAACTAATAGTTAGATATTTGTTATTATTTAATAAACTAAAATTAATGATTATTTTATTGTTGACTAGTTTTATTGTTTTATTAATATACATTTTATTAATATAATTAATAAATATATATTTATTATTTACTGTCAAAAATGCAACTGAATGATTATTTTATTAACTCGTTTAATATTATTGTTTTATTTCATAGTTAATGAATAGATATTTATAATTTTATTACAAAATTGCAGTGGATGTTAGTATTAATATTTCTTTAGAATCAAGGAATGGTATAGATGTGGAGTGCACAACCCATTTTTTATAAAGTGGTGAGGCCAATAAAAATGAAGGGACTTGATGCCTATGATAAAACCCACTACAGTTTCCACCATGAGCCCTGATGTTGTATTTATGTACCAGACATAGTTTAGGGTTTTGCTGTCTCTGTTAATTTGTGTTTTCTCTGTCTTTCTGGATCATTCAGGCGCAGGTGCTGCCAAACCTGAGTCCTCCACAGCTTCCAGTGGACAACCAGTCACATCTCAGAACGGTTCTTCTCTCAGCCTCTTGGGGGCGTATACAGACAGCGATGACAGCAACTCTGACTAGGCTGGAAAAAAATTTGGCAGACTGAAATTAAATGTTTATTTTCAGACTGACAAAAATGACCAGCTCTCTTTTCACAGACCACTTTAAGTTTCCTTAACCTGGACTCTTTAAAATTGCAATTCGAGAGATTTTTATTTTTCAGTGATGAACTTTTTAGCTGGAGGAGCATTGTTTATGAGAAGTTGTTTCCATTGCCTGGATTTCATTCGGTCTATTAGATCTGCATCATCCCGATGTCTCTAATGTACTCTATAATGTGCTTCGTATGTATTATGTACTCTATAATGTAGTATTTGTTTCTCCATGTTAGCTCAATCACTACGAGGAAATGCATTTGAGGGTTTCAGTGGAGATAAGTGAATCTGAATCTAATTTCGGCTGATCATCTCTAATCCCATATCATCCCATTTCATCTTTCCAAACATCAGACAAATAAAATGTTCCTCGTGTTTTGTTTCCGAGCACAGACTATTTTTTCAGTTGTGTTGGTTTTAGCAAATATTTAGAAATACATTTCAGATATATTATTATTTATCAAATATTTTCTATATTGTGAGCTTCCCAAAAAGCGTTTTATAACACTGCCGAGTTAAGACTGCTTTGTGCCCGCTCAAAATTCAGTGTATGCACAACGCAGCATAAAAGCCAGACTGAATCATGTTGGCTCACACCCACCTCAGCCCCTAGCCTCAAAGAATACAGCTGTAATTGCATCACATTGTTTTGCATTTATGCCATCTTTGAGCAGCATTAAACTATGGAAAACCATTTCTGCCATGGAATAAAAAAAGGAATTTGCAACTTTTTATGTGAGCGTATATCTTGCAATTCTGAGCTTATATCTCACATTTCCGAGGAAAAAGTCATAAAGTAGTCAATAAAAAAAATAATGGTAATTGCGACTTACAATTTTGACTGTGCATTTCTGAGTTTAGATCTTGCAGTTCTAATAAAGAAGTCAGAATTGTGAGGTCGAGGAAAGTCGAAATTTTATTGTTTATTCCGTGGCAGAAACATGCTTCCATATTAAACGTTTTGTGTAGATACACCTAAATGCCTCATCTGAAGCGCTTCTGAACCTCTGCAGTGTACATTTGGCAAAAGTGACTTAATTTGACATCCGCTAATGGCATCAGTGGCTTGTTTTGGTGTTCAAGGTAACACTTGCTAATTTGATGTTAATGCAGTCCAGTGTGTGGATAGCCATTATTCACCATCTCCCATATTGCTCCACCAAAGTGCTGGTGACCTTCTAACCTTACAAGTTGACCTCTGTATGCTGATGGAGAAGGTGTTAATGAGAGCTGGTGTGACAGATGGGACACGTAGTGAATTGGATTGCTTCCTTTAGTGTGTGTGGTTAACCAGAAGCCCCTGCTTATATGCATTTTATTGCACTTAATCTCTTTGTGTTATCTAAAAACCCTGCACTTTCTTAATAACTGTGCTTTGCAGACATGCAACATTGATTTTGCACAGTGCAAAGCCAAAGCACGAGCCATCATGTGAAATGAAATGCCTCAGCAAGAACAAAGACAATGCAACTCTCCAGAGAGCTTCAACAACAAGTCGAGCTTGTGTGTTGCTCACCAGCTCAGCTGCAACAGCCAATGCAATCCGATGCAACTCATCCATCCATCTGCACGTGCACACGCTCGTCACTTTTTGAGATTCCCCTCACAGTTGCTTTAAATACTCCCTTCCATCCGTGCATCATTGAGGTCGCCAAAAATTTAAATTATGTAACGGTTCACTCACGCTGATTTTGTTCCAACCCCTATTGTTTTCCATCTTCCATGAAAAACAAAAGCAGTTGTTAGGAAAAATGTGAGAGGGGTAGCAACCTCAGTCTCTATTCACCTTCACTGCATCGTTTTTTATCCAATGAAAGTGAACGGGACTGTGAATCTTTGGTTTAAAAAGGACAATGAGCATAATAAAAGTTGCTTATATAACTAATTTGGTGTGTTTTAGGTCATATGAGAGATTTCTGTGAGAAACGGACCTAAATTTAAGTCACTATTGACTGAATTCTCGATTGACTGACATGGTCACCATTCACTTTCATTGGATGAAAAAGAGCTGTCTGGTCATTCTGCTAAATAACTACTTTTGTGGAGGATTGAAAGTCATACGGATTTGGAACAACATGAGGTTGAGTAAATTATTTTTGTGTTATCACTGTAAAATGTCTTTTCCAGTGGGGCTGGTCTAGAGGTGGAGGCTTAAAGTAATCCACAACTGCCTTTCTTTTACATTTCTTGCTTTTTTAAATGTCATAGCTGTGCTTTTGCTTTCCAGATCAATTTATTGCAAGCAAATAGGCGTTGGATGTTCTAAAGCATCGATGCATTGGGGAAACTGAGGTGAGCTGTTGCACAATATCATATTTGCCATTTATTGACACTCTGTGAGTAATAAGTAACTCATTGGTTAGGTGTTTCAGGATTTATGGATGGTGTTCCATGGAAGAACTAGGATAAAGTCCTTTTTAGAAGCATAACAGCTCTTTTAACGTTTATTTTGATCGGTTTCATTCTTGTCTTGGTCGTAGACCCATGGCAAAGTGGTTTAGAGATCACCTAAGTTTCGGCAGCAGGAAAGGACCGCCTCAGCCCCCGACACCGGACTACACCGAAAGCGAGATCCTGCGGGCCTACAGGGCTCAGAAAGAGCTGGACTTTGAGGACCCATACGAACCCACGGAAAACCGGGTGCTGAACGGCTCAGGGTCGGTGGAAACGTTCCCCGGCGCGGTGCTGTCCAACGGCGTGGAGGTGAAGATCGTGTCTCCCAAACACAGACTGATAAAAGTGGAATCTCAGGAATTCGGGCGTAATACTGCCGTATTAGATGAAAAATCGGCACGCGCTCGTCTGTGAGTATCCATTGGGATTGCGCATTGCATAGATAGCAAGCAAGCCGGCTAACAAATGCAGTTTACATTTGTTGGTTTTTACTTTTGTGCTCCAAATTAGTTAAGTATTCGTCTTCTGTGTTTAATTTACTATAGTAATCGTGTATATAATCACATTTGTCGACAAATAAAGTGACTATAATGTGAGCTAGCGGAGTTTAAAGATGTTAGCCGGGTTGCTAACATTAGTTTTAATCTATAATAACAGTTTTTGTCTATTTCAGTCAAAGAAACAAAAGAATCTCTCTGTTATGTGCTAAATTAAAGGGGGAAAGATAAGAAAGTGGGTGTGTACAGTTGGTGCATGTTATTGTTTTGACAGGATTCTTTGCCCAGATTGAGCAGTGCAAGTTTGTTTTGTTTTGTGTAACGTTATGTGTGAAACTTTCTTTTTGAATAATGTTGATTTATTTGTTTTCATTAATATGAAATCATCGCCATCATGTTTAATTTATCCACCAAGTACAAAAGCATTAACCGCTGATATATATAGGCTATAGCTCTTTTAACGTTTATTTTGATCGGTTTCATTCTTGTCTTGGTCGTAGACCCATGGCAAAGTGGTTTAGAGATCACCTAAGTTTTGGCAGCAGGAAAGGACCGCCTCAGCCCCCGACACCGGACTACACCGAAAGCGAGATCCTGCGGGCCTACAGGGCTCAGAAAGAGCTGGACTTTGAGGACCCATACGAACCCACGGAAAACCGGGTGCTGAACGGCTCAGGGTCGGTGGAAACGTTCCCCGGCGCGGTGCTGTCCAACGGCGTGGAGGTGAAGATCGTGTCTCCCAAACACAGACTGATAAAAGTGGAATCTCAGGAATTCGGGCGTAGCAAAATACCACTGAACATCGTGACCTTTGAGGAACCGCAGGCCCCTGTAAGTTCTTGTTTTCTTAACATATAGAGAGCTTAAATGGCTCTTACTGGACTGTTATCAGTAAAAATGATGTGCTTTGAAAGATTTCCTGTGTGGATATATGGGGAAAATTACTGGGATTGGCCAAGAACCAATCCCTGAAAGTGTAAAAACATAGTTTAGTGGTGTACTTTAGTGTGTTCATCTTGATGAATAATTGTGATTTCAAGCCTTTTTGCTCTTCTTATGTGTACTTGAATGTCATAACAATGACAAATGTTTGTTTGTATGGAATTATTTTACCAGAACATTACTTGTATGGTTGTTTATCTTGGGGTAAAGACCCTCCAGTTAATTTCTTCCATCATGAATAGATCAATATATCACAAATGAGGCGGTTATGAGAGTCGCAGTGGATGTTTTACTAGGATTACATTGATGTCTGATTGTTTTGAGTAGATTTGTTCGATGCACATGTCATGGGTGAGTTTTGCAGATGTCATAAACCAAACAGACGCACAATTTGCTCGTGTTTCCGGCCGGTAATAATTGTCTTTTGTCATCAGAGGTGAAGGGTGTGAGTGTTGGGAATCAATTTCATTAACCCAAATGCAAGTAATCCCAATGCCTGCGGCTTTTATAGACGCACACACCAACCCTCTCTCTCACTCGTTTCGGTTTTTAAATGGATTGTGTGTCTAAAAATGTCTAATTCTTCAGTGAAACAAAAAAGTGATGCGCTTTTCTGTGCAATGTAAGCATAATGTAATCAGTGTCTGACAATTTTCAGTCTAGACAAAAAAAAGATTTATAAAAAAAAGTCCATTTGACTTCATTTTAGTATTATTTATGTACTATTATAGTATATACTTTCTAGTGTCTGCTTTCAAAAGAGACCACGATTATGTTTGTAGACCAAATGGTTCAAGAGCTGCGGCCTTTACATTTTGGTTTGTGGTTAAGGGATTTCTAAAAACAGCTTTTATTTTTAAATTAAATTGAACATTTAATTTTTATTTTTTTATTTTGAATTTTTTTCAAGTTTTACTGATTTAGTATTAATTTTTGTAATTTTAATAAATAGTTTTTGTAATTTTGATGTGTAATAATAGTTACTGGTTTTTTTTTTGGTTTTTTTAAAATATGTAGTTAGTTAATGTAGTGTTAATTTAAATTTCAGTTTTAGTTAATTTTAGTACATCAAGTTAAACAAAATGAAAATGAGAAGTACCACTTTTTTTTTTTTTTTTACTAGTTAACCATAATAACCGTAGTGGATGAAAATGCTTCATGTGTGTTTACATGAGCTAGCAGAATCGTGTACTGTGTAAAACTCTGCAGTTATCTTCGTTTCGGATTCATATGATCATCATGATCACTCAACACTTGTTCTTTATTCTTTTCACCAGGTGGTTCCCTCGGCTCCTGCAGTTGGGGAGACTGATTACTCGGACCCGTTTGATGCCAGACCGGACCCGCGGCCCAGACCCGGCTGGGAGCAGAACGCCGTCGAAGCCTGCAGCAGTTACATGGAGCCGTTTGAGGCCCAGAGATTCATAAGCGGTACAGCATTTCCCCACTATATCTCTTATAATTCCAAAGAGAGCATTCATTCAGCCATTGTTATTCCAGTATGTTGTAATTTGTGGTCTGCGGTAACGTTTACATGTTTTTCAGAGCTTGACAACTCCAGTCCTTATTCACTTTCATAATACTCATACATAATGTAATTTCGTGTTGTCTGGTGCAATTGAACGTGTTTGTCGTATGTCAGAGCTCCAGCACAGCACAGATCGGGGTAGAAACAGCCCGCAGCTCTACGACAGCCCTTACGAGGAGAGAGTTCGGCCCCAGGCGGCCCCAGCGGAGGACGAGAGAGAGAGCCGTCTGCCCCAGGACGACGAGAGGCCGGCGGATGAGTACGACCAGCCCTGGGAGTGGAAGAAAGAGAACATCTCCAAAGCCTTCGCTGGTAAGACATGTTGCTGTCTAGAGATGGGCTCCGTTCCACAGCAGCACGTTTTCATCCTCTTTTGAAAATGACGTTGACTGCACTACAAGCAGGGTACAAACTTAACAGTCAGCAAATGTGAGTATATTAAAACCGTGTTATTTGATAGGTGGCTGGTGTTTTAGAGCAGCTTCCTTTGGTTTTCTGCCAAAGTAAAAGCTCTGAGGTTTAGCACTTGAAAGCAAAGAAATTTAGACAGCCATAAATATCAAATTTACAGTTATATATTATTTTACATATACTGTATAGTAGTATTATTATTATTATTATATATCAATCGTTTACTCGATAGTATTATAGCAATAGTAATATACTTCTTACTATTAATAACAATACATTGATTTATGTATTTTAATATGAATTATTATAATAATAATAACAAATTGAATATATTAAATAATAAACTAGTAGTAGTAGTAGTAATATTTCTTTATTGACTTTTGTAGTTTATAATAAATAGTAATAAATATGATTAAATAAACTATATTTAACTATACTATATAACTATATTTTTATAATTTTAATATTCATTCTAATTAAAATATTAATAAATTATTCTATTTATTAATATTAATAAATATGAATATTTATTAATAAATATGAACGAATGATAATATTTTAAATCACTCAGGCCTAAGTAACTGCCTGCTTTTTAAATAATAATGCAAATACTGTTTTGTGGCAGAGTAAAAGTATAATAATGTTATTATGAAAATATAATATAATGTTTTATGGCCAGTAAATTTTCTCAAGTCAGTTCAAGTTAGTTTTGAACCCTGACTACTGTTTGATGCATCAACAGTTTAATTCTTAAGCACAGTAGTTGTCAGTCGCAGCTCTAAACATTGGATTTGTCTGCTTTCAATAAAATGATCTGTAGGTGCAGTCTGTCTTTTATCTTGCACTTGAGAAAGGAAGATGTCTGATTCTGTTGTGAGGAGAGGGATGTGTGGAGGGTCTTGATGGAGACAGGAGTAGAGCAGTCATGCAGAAAGATCAGATCCACTGTGTGACTTCTGCTCTGCATCACATTCCACACACACACACACACACTCAGATCATCTCTCCCTCTGTGACTGAAATGTCACGCATTCTTCATCACATGGTCATTTCACCACTTCTGATCAGATTGCCGGTTGCTCGTGGATTTTTTCACGCTCTGTCAGATGCATATTCCTCACAAACATGACAAGAGCTTCTTTACCAAGACAGCAGGAACAGTGATGCTGGGAGATAATAACTAGTGTTGTTTGCTAAAGCATGAAACACTACTGTATTGCTTATACTGAGGGATAGTGATTTAAACAAACCCTTAATTGTAAATATATAATGTTAATGCCTTTTCTAAAAAAAAAAAAAAAATAAATTGGGGTTGGAGATGTTCTTAATTGTTCTTAGTTTCACTATGTTCCAAAATAGAATTTTAAGATATACTGCATAATTTAATACACATATAATTTTATGGGGGGAAAAACATAAAATAAAGCAATTAAATCACATTTAATTATTAATAAAAAATATATAATTTTACTTATTATACATTTTTACATTTTTATATTTGAAATATCAATAAAATATATAAAAATTAAATTACATAAAATTAATTTGAATGTATATTTTTAACTCTTTTTGGTTGCATTTTTAAAGTTTATAATTGTTTTGTAGTAACCTTTGCAGCAATAATGCATTTCTTTCATTTGCATAGGTTTATAATAAGTAAATCATATTTTAAATAATAATTAAAGTAATTGAATAATAAATATTCGTTGTTAGTAGTAGTAGTAGTAGTAGTAGTAGTAGTAAATACTCTATATTTTTAATGTACATACATATTTTTTAACCTGCTCTTTTTGCTTGCATTTTAAAAAGTTTGTTTATTATTGTTTTTTAAGTAAGGTTTTTATTTTTTTTAACACTTAAGTTTAGGGACCAGTTCTCACTATTAACTAGTTGCTTATTAGCATGCATATTACTAGCATATTGGCTGTTTATTAGTACTTATAAAAGCACATTCTAATGCCTTGTTTTGACCATATTCTAGATCCTGTAATCCTACCCCATACCTAAACTTAACAACTACCTTACTAAGTATTGATAAGCAGCAAATTAGGGGTTTATTGAGGCAAAAGTCGTGGTTGAAAGTTAGTTAATAGTGAGAACTGGTCCCCAAACTAAAGTGTGACCCTTTTTTGAATGTTTTGTAGTAACTTTTGAAGCCAGAGACTGGGAACAATGTACACTGCCCCGTGACGAGGCACCGAGGAAGGCAGGAGCGTCCAGAATCAGCCCTCCATCCAGCAGAGCCACCAGCCTGCACAAGCCCAGCAACACACACGGCATCCTGGGAGAGAGGGTGGATCCCACACTGCCCCTGGAGAAACAGGTGTATGTATTTACACATGAACAGCCTGAGCTGTGCTGTGCTGTTCAATGAATTTAACACAGGAAACTGGCAGATGTATAAGTGAAAAGTTGTACTATTTAAGTACAAATAACATAAATAGACAAATAACATCATGACATGATTGTCAAATGAGTACACATATGATGTGGTACGGTTAAACATTTACCTCAGGAAAGTTATCCAATAAGTAGTAGTAACTAGCATAAGTAGCTAGTTGAATTCAAGAGAAGAGCATTCTGCTAAAATTTCAAACACTATCATTATTTTTCCACCACTCTGCATCATATTTGCTGAGTGAAACCCAATACTTAAAGGGATAGTTCACCCAAAAATGAAAATTACCCCATGATTTACTCACCCTCAAGCCATCCTAGGTGTATATGAATTTCTTCTTTCAGATGAATACAATCGGAGTTATATAAAAAAAAATGCCCTGGCTCTTCCAAGCTTTATAATGGCAGTGAATGGGGGTTGAGATTTTGAAGCCCAAAAAAGTGCATCCATCCATCATAAAAAGTGCTCCACACGGCTCCAGGGGGTTAATAAAGGCCTTCTGAAGTGAAACGATGTGTTTGTGTAAGAAAAATATCCATATTTAAAACTTTGTATATTTTTTTCATATTTAAAACATCCAAACAGCCACAGAAAATGACAGTTTTTGTGAAAAAGGCTTATTTATAAATTTATGTAAATTACTTTGACATTAAATGGAGTATTTGAACATATGTTTCCAATCCTTTGCAGATTGTAAGTTAAAAGATACGTTTTGAACGCTGAAAGATTGGTTCTGTGAAAACCCTAATAGTGGCCCATCTGTGTGTGTGTGTGTGTTTCAGATGGTACCATGGTGCATTGACTCGCTCAGAAGCTGAATCTCTGCTCACGCTGTGTAAGGAGTGCAGTTACCTGGTGAGGAAAAGCCAGACCAGCAGAAACGACTATTCGCTGTCTCTCAGGTACAGTCTTACAAACTCACTCTCTCAGGTACTCTTACAACCCAACAACTCATTCAGTGCCATCATTTACAGTGCTCTGTGGAATGAGTAGCTTAGTCATTCCCTCACAAGTAGACAGTTTTGTCTTTTTCATTTTCATATCAATTTCTGCTGCAGTTCAGAGTTGTGTTGTCATGACTTACCTCAGGGCTTTTTGGTTTGGTTCAGTCCCTGAGGACAAAATTAAATCTTTCTAGAAACAAGGCCACTGATGACCTGGGCGTTCTATTAGTGTGCTGTAAATTAAACCACTAGCTACCGTTTTCTGCTGTGTTGTGATTGTTTTCAGAGGTATAGTAATTGAAGTACTTGTCCCACATTCACTTTTGTTTCATGAAACAGTCAGAGTCATTTGACTTTATAAATAGAGCAAATTGTTTCTGCTAGTCTAGGTTCATGTTTCTCTTTCTGCATCTTCATGGGAAATTAACTTTAAATACGCATTAAGGCCAGAGCCTTTAGTGATTCTCTGGACACTAAATATTTACATGATTATGCACTACTGTAACTACTCTAAATGTAATTTTTTTATGTTGTACTATAGCTACTCTAAATGAAACATCTGATATTTATGTTTTATTACAATTTTGACAATAAAATCCCATTAGTTTGCATTGAAAGAGGACCAGAGTCATCTAGAAATTAAACTGTTATAGAGACTTGAGAGTGGTTTTAATTGGACTTGGCCAGTAAGCAACTACCGGTAACTAGCAACCAGCCTGAACACCCTAGCAACCACATAGCAACGCCCTAGCAGCCAACTGATGCAACCTCTTTTTATTTTTCTCTGTCTAGATCTGCTCTCATTTATTAATTTTTTTCTTTTCCCCTTATGCTACATGCATATTCTACTGCTGGAGGGCAGTTACATCTAGCTATTCTAGCTCTGTGTAATATATTCAGGTTTGAGGTGTTTTGTGTGGGTCTGAATGCGTTTACCATGTTATTAATAATGTAGTGCCCACCAAAAAGCATGGCTGCTTTTCAGTTTTATGGGGGTGAGCAATATGACCAAAATCTTACATCATGGTATTTTAATCACATACTGATAAAAAAAAAAAAGTATAGCCTGAATGCACTGTAAGTTGCTTTGGATAAAAGCGTCTGCTAAATGCATAAATAAATAAATAATATTATATTTTAATCATAATTTTTTCTGATTGTATAAATCACAATATATACTAATTTAATTTATAAACAATACAATTGTTTATATATTAATTATGTATGTGAAATGATCCAATAAATTAAATTCTTCACAAATAAAAAGTGCTTTATCTCATTTAATTATTTTTCCTTTTTATTTTCCCTTTTTATTAATGTGGCGAGTTGCAACATCACTCAGAAACCATTAACTCTTAATAACTTTATCCTTGACTTGTTTAAGACACGGACAGTTTCTGTATTTTCACATATCTCATGTCTCCAGAAAAGTTTAAGACCCAATATCTAAAAGGGCATTAAGATATCTTTAATACTTCTTGAGTTACTGGCATGCAAGCTTTGGAGAAAAAACTTGAAAAGTGCTGTTTCCTATTTTTGAATGGTCACCATTGGCACACAATGCAACAAAGATTGCTAAAGTCAACAGATTTTACTAACAGCCCTACTCTCTACAAAACAGTGGATTACTCAGTAAATATTCATCCATAACATTTAATATTTTGGCTTTCATCACTATATGTGTTTATCTTTCTTCAGAAAAAATATTAGCAAAATCAAAACTTTTTGAGCCGGGGACCTCTGGTTGAGTTGACACAGAATGACCCTATAGAGAGAATATGGAGCTCAAACTCAAGGAGCAAAAAACTACTCCATTTTTTTTCAGAGGCCCAAATGAAGCAAAAATATGCAATTTGGTGCAGATGCTGATATTTATGTGGCCAAAAAGTAAGATGAAGTTCTGATATCCTGAAATGAATATAACTTAAATCTTTATAACAGTATAACAGACTACTGACATAAAATGCATATAAATATCAGTTGTCTCTCTGTACCTCCCAATAATGTCTTAAGATGACATTTATATGCTTAGTTTGATGATCAGTTTAAGACACATGAAGCACGAGCTGAAGTTGGATGTTTTTACAATTATACTAAAAGGCCTTTTGCTTGCTAAAAGAATCAACTATCAATCAGAAGACAGAATGCATGTAGCAGATTGTGTACAACAGCAAAGTTTCGATTATGGTGATCATTCAGAGGGCTTAGAAATGTGCATATCAAATATGAAACAGTAGGCTTTACAGGGTTAAACTTACTGAACGCATTTTCATGTAACATTTATTTATTTTAGCTTTATTTCATTGAACGAAAATGATTTTTAATAGTTTTAGTTAACAGTAACAACACTGTTTTACCTATTTATAATATACAGCAGCCTTACCTACTGTTGTATAAACAGTATAGCGCAGTCTCTACCGACTGACACATTTCTACTGTTCCAGGTCAGGCTTACAAAGCCATATGCAAACTCAAAGACTTTCTCTCTCCCCCCCTCCGTCTCTCTGCAGGAGCTGTCACGGGTTCATGCACATGAAGTTCTCGCAGTCTCGGGATGGGAAGTTCATCCTGGGAGAGAACAGTCCTCCATTTGGCTCCATCCCTGAAGTCATTCATTACTACACCACGAACAAACTGCCCATCCGCGGAGCCGAACACCTGTCCCTGCTGTTCCCGGTGCTGGTGCAGACGCTCTGAGACCACACACACACACTTACCATGCGCTCGCACACGTACACACTCAGGGCCTCACTCAGATGGCTACTATAGTGCTTAATTTTCAATCACATATCACAGGCTCTTTGAGAGTTTGATTTGTGTTTGGAGTGGGAATTAGATTTTTCAGGCGTGTGAATGAACCCTGGTGTGAATGAAAACACAGTCGGCCTGTACAGAAACTGTATTGATGTGCTGCACACGGGTGAAGAATATTTTACACACCACTGACCTCTAAAGTGTCTTCGCATCACACTGGGAACTGTAATATTATTACTTTCTCTGCTCCAAACTCTTCAAATGATAGTTTTAACATTTGAAGATAAAATGTAGCCCGACCAAAGTATTTATAAAGATTTTGCTAAATACTAAAATGCAATGATGTACAGTACAAATCCCATCCTCTGTAGGATTTCTTGCTTTAAAAAGTGATTCACCTGAAATGGCAGTTGTCATCATTTGCTCATTCTCATGTCATTCCGAACCTGTAGAACACAAAAGAAGATCTTTTGAATGATGTTAATGAAAGTGGATGCTGATCATGGCTGTTATGCTCTAAAAAAGGACAAAATCACCATAAATGTAGTCCATATAAGTCTTCTAAAGCCACACAATATATCTTTTTGTCCTTTTTAGAGCTTTATGGCGACGGTCACCATCCACTTTCATTGTATTGTAAATTTAGTTCTGTTCTACTCGTTTCTCTTTTTGTGTTCCACTATATAAAATCACGCTGGTTTGGAATGACATGCGCGTGAGTGAATAATGACTGAATTTTCATCTTGAGTGACTGTAAGCAAAAATGAGGGCTTCTCTTTAGGAACAGGAAGCCGGCCCTTAACTTCCTTTTGTCACTAACTAGAAGCGATGAATCATGGTTTAGCGGTAAGGAAGTGAAAATACGACGCTGGAATGTTCCGAATGTGACTTTCGCTTGTCCGGATGGCCATCTGCAAACACAAAGATTTGTTCTGCTCCCAGAATCTCGGGGTGCTGAGGATGACGAAAACAGAAATTGAAGTCCTCCGACCATCTAAAGCTGCACTTTCATTCGCTTCAGTGCTCCGGTCTTGTAGCATGACAGGAAGCGGTCATTACTGTGGCATTTGGCTTCACTTAAGGCAGCTGTCTCAATGCTACCCATCATTTCACTCTACCAGATACCGCTTAGTGCTGCCGGCTCGTTTCTGAGGATTTCTTAGCAATACTTAAAGCTCCATGAGAAACCTTACGTGAACCATCTCTTCTGAGTTAATCTGGGTTTATGTGATATTTGAAATAAGGTCACTTATAATCTAGGGGTGGAACGGTACACAGATGTCACGGTTCGGTACGTACCTCGGTTTGGGGGTCACGGTTCGATACGATTTCGGTACAACGGGGGGAAAAATCTACTATGCTCAGTTTCTTTTCGTTTATTTTGAACAGACAGTAGTACAAATTAAAATTGTTTCCACCTAGATGTGAAAATACTAAATATTATTACATTGTTATATATATAAAATCTGCAGTACATATATACATACAAGGAATAAATTCTTGAAATATATTTGATTTAGTTTACGGATAAACAAGGGAAAAAACAGTGCGACACGTAACGTAGCCTATATACGCTGAGTTTGTTCATTTTTGTGACACGCTTAATTTGTTCACAGAAACTCAAATGACAGAAAGCCACATCCTATTTGTTTTCTTTATTTTACAAAAGCACAATGTTTTGTTTTCATTGTGAGTGTACACAAATAAAAGCAGACCTTTATACAGTGATGCATTATTAATAAGACAATAAGTGTTTAAAGTTGATTATGCTGGAATAAGGAAACTGTTGAAGTGATTGCGCCGGCGCACACACACACACAAAACACATAAGTTCCAGCATTGCTAATGTGACAGCTGGTTCTTTATCAAAATAAAATACAGAGAACCAAACACGGTGAACGCGATTGAAGTACAAAGCCTATAATTTACATAATAAATAATAGTTTAGCATTCAGATACGTTACATCGCAAATATGGAAGTATTATGGAATATTTGGATTTGTGCAGAATGAGAGTGGTTGGATACCCGAGCACAAAGCTCCATTTCTCAAAAAGTTGAGTGCACAAGCCTTTAAAGTATACTCCTTTGTCAGTCTGTGAGAGACGCATTCAGAATCAGTGTTGCCAGATTGGAAATGTCTAAGTATCGTACCAGAAGCTCAAAATTATCGTATTTGGAAGAAAATGATCGTACATGAGTCAAACGTACAGAATACAGCTATTTATCTAGACCAACAACTTTTTGACACAACCTGCAAATTACCACAATAGATAAATAACTCCACCTGTGAGTCTCTATCATCGGAAGCCTGCGTGTTGCCAGATGTTGAGGGGGTTCTTGCCGTCATGGACCGCAAGATAGTGCTCGTTGGCTTAAAAGCAGGGCACCCTCCTGAATCCTTAACACACTCTGAGGTGTGCACGAGCGCATTTATAGTGTCTGTAATGAGCCGATTTCGTGGATGAGTAGCCTATAGAAACCCTATGATTACAACTACCATCATTTGAAGAGTCACAAAATTCTGAAATTATCGTACATTATGGGATTTTTTAAGGTCAAAATTATCGTACAAATACGATAATTATCGTACAAATACGATAATTATCGTACGCCTGGCAACACTGTTCAGAATCAGCACATGGTCACTGTCTAGTGGGCTTTGTTTTCAAGTGTGCAACTCATGGCATTCGCTGTTCTTCTGCTGGCGGCCGGTTATCAAACAGCGTTGCATTGCTGTGGGCGCCCCCTTCTGGATTGGGGGTGAATTGCCTGTATTCGTTGTAAGGCCTCATGCACCGAACCGAGATGTCCGTACCGTGACGGTTCGGTACGAATACATGTATCGTTCCACCCCTACTATAATCATAAGCCGCGTCCGTGTGTTTGTAAATGAAGATGAAACTCAAGCATTTTCCTCTTAAGAAACACAATCTTCTGTTGTTTAGTGAATGTTATAGTAAAAAGCTTTCAAATGAACGTGGTTTTGGGATCGGTTTGCTTGCACGACCTCTGAACACACACACACACACACACACACACACACTACTGCGTTTAGACTTCTACACAAGGTTTCTATTGCTTTAGAGATCCACTCGGTAGCTATAGTTTATGATGACTAATTTTAGTGTGTTTTTGTTTTTTCTATATGCTGTTTTCAAGCTTTTCTTTGGAATAAATTAGGAATTGTTTTCTAAAAAAAAAAGTGTGTGTGTGTTGAATTGTCATCTGTACGGTTAAATCCTGATTGGATGTGACGTTACTGGGCTAAAGGCTGATCCGTGTCTCTCAGCAGAAAAAAGAGTTCCTCCTCATAAAGCATTCATGCAACACACTGTAAAAAAAATAGGTCAGACCTCCTCCATGTGACCGAGCTTATACACACTCTGTTGTTGACTCTGAGCGCTAATGCTTCTGGGTATGTGTGCGTGTGTGTTACTGGGAATCGGACTCAACACAGCTGATATATGCTGTCAAGACAAAGTCCCATCTGAAACGTATCGCATATCACACTGTCGCAGATGAGAACAACCAGCTGTGTGACTTTGCTCCCATTTTTTGTTTGTGCCTTTTTCTAAACCAACAATTACTGGTGTTTGCTTCAAAACGTCACACTGTCGCAGATGAGAACAACCAGCTGTGTGACTTTGCTCCCATTTTTTGTCTGTGCCTTTTTCTAAACCAACAATTACTGGTGTTTGCTTCAAAACACAAGCCTGAGGCCTGAAACCTTCTCTTACGTATGCAAATGTTTGGCCAGGATCTTGAGGGTCTGTTGTGTATATTTGATATGTGTTCTTGTGTTACTGTGGCAGTAACGAATCTCCAGTTCTCAAAAGGGGTGATAGTTACCTTTAAAGGTCTGTGCATGCAAACCAGCTTATTGGAGAATCATAATTATGAGATACTAAATCAAAATTTTTAAGAGAAATAAAAATGGATAAAAAAAGTCATAATTATGACACAATTCAGTACTGACCATAAATGTGACATCACAGTTTAAACTTTTTATTAGTATGTCATCATTTTGACTTCCAATTTCAGCCTGTCATAATTTCAACTTTTATTAGTGCAAGTCATTATTATGAGATGAAAAAGTAAATTGTGACATATTAAATCATGAGAAGTTGAAATTGACAGTCAAAATTTAGATGATTATGAAAAATTATGAAAATAACTGACAAAAAAATAATTATTGCACAAGTTGAAATAGTCAAAATGATGACATGCTAATAGAAAAGTGAAATTATAAGATAGTGACAAGTCCATTTTTTGTCAATTGACTTGTTATAATTATGGGTTTTTACTTTATATATGACTCATCGATTTACTGGTTAACACCCAGTTACCTTTTTGTGATTTACACTGCAGAAGATGTTTTACCAATGACCATTTTTGGCTTTTAACTATGAGACTTATATGTGTTTTTCTATCTAGTATAGACTGATAGACACATGGCATTTATGACTCAGGGTGATTGATTGGCTTAAAAATGTTTCTGTATAGATGGTAGCATGCAGGTTGCATACTTCTGGATAAACTCGTCGTTGGCTGTCTTTCATTTTCTCTCAGTTCTCCTTGCGTCTTTGCCCTGGCATCTCAGGAATATTTAAACATTGTCTCTTTGCATTCTAACATGTTATCCTGAGGAAACAAGTGCCAACATTGTCCTGAGTGAGTCACACTGTAAATAACCGACTGTCCTGCATCCTTGCATTGTGTTATTGTTGGAATGCGTTGGTGCATTAATGTCTAGTTAAGGTTATGAGTGTCAAGATAAAATAGACTGTTTATAATAATATTTATATTGATAATGGTGTTTACATTTGGGTAGTTATGTGACATGCTAAACTCATAGCAGAATTTTGCTATAATTTTTTTAATAATTATTATTCAATTTTCTTAAATTCTTAATTGCTGTTATAATTATAAAAATAGCAAAGGAAAAAAGTAATTAAAATGGTGACAAATGTAAAAGACATGGTCACAGTCACATAACCAAACATAAACTCTTTCTCTTAAAAATGAATGTAATGTTTATATAAAAATGTCTGACATTACGCCTTTTTTTTTTTTTTGCGTGGGGTATGTGTGCGTGTGTGTTACTGGGAATCGGACTCAACACAGCTGATATATGCTGTCAAGACAAAGTCCCATCTGAAACGTATCGCATATCACACTGTCGCAGATGAGAACAACCAGCTGTGTGACTTTGCTCCCATTTTTTGTCTGTGCCTTTTTCTAAACCAACAATTACTGGTGTTTGCTTCAAAACACAAGCCTGAGGCCTGAAACCTTCTCTTACGTATGCAAATGTTTGGCCAGGATCTTGAGGGTCTGTTGTGTATATTTGATATGTGTTCTTGTGTTACTGTGGCAGTAACGAATCTCCAGTTCTCAAAAGGGGTGATAGTTACCTTTAAAGGTCTGTGCATGCAAACCAGCTTATTGGAGAATCATAATTATGAGATACTAAATCAAAATTTTTAAGAGAAATAAAAATGGATAAAAAAAGTCATAATTATGACACAATTCAGTACTGACCATAAATGTGACATCACAGTTTAAACTTTTTATTAGTATGTCATCATTTTGACTTCCAATTTCAGCCTGTCATAATTTCAACTTTTATTAGTGCAAGTCATTATTATGAGATGAAAAAGTAAATTGTGACATATTAAATCATGAGAAGTTGAAATTGACAGTCAAAATTTAGATGATTATGAAAAATTATGAAAATAACTGACAAAAAAATAATTATTGCACAAGTTGAAATAGTCAAAATGATGACATGCTAATAGAAAAGTGAAATTATAAGATAGTGCCAAGTCCATTTTTTGTCAATTGACTTGTTATAATTATGGGTTTTTACTTTATATATGACTCATCGATTTACTGGTTAACACCCAGTTACCTTTTTGTGATTTACACTGCAGAAGATGTTTTACCAATGACCATTTTTGGCTTTTAACTATGAGACTTATATGTGTTTTTCTATCTAGTATAGACTGATAGACACATGGCATTTATGACTCAGGGTGATTGATTGGCTTTAAAATGTTTCTGTATAGATGGTAGCATGCAGGTTGCATACTTCTGGATAAACTCGTCGTTGGCTGTCTTTCATTTTCTCTCAGTTCTCCTTGCGTCTTTGCCCTGGCATCTCAGGAATATTTAAACATTGTCTCTTTGCATTCTAACATGTTATCCTGAGGAAACAAGTGCCAGCATTGTGTTATTGTTGGAATGCGTTGGTGCATTAATGTCTAGTTAAGGTTATGAGTGTCAAGATAAAATAGACTGTTTATAATAATATTTATATTGATAATGGTGTTTACATTTGGGTAGTTATGTGACATGCTAAACTCATAGCAGAATTTTGCTATAATTTTTTTAATAATTATTATTCAATTTTCTTAAATTCTTAA